GCCTGGATGACTCTGATGCTCGGGAAACGAGGTAGCCTTTTTTGGTGGGGGCAATGCAAGCCCCATGTTGCAATCCGCAAACGCCCGGTCCGAACTAAACCCTTAGCCCTAATTACACCGAAATCCCTAATCTAAAGCCTAAACCACGAACCCTAAACCCTAAACCCTAAACCATGAACCCTAAACCCTAAACCCTAAATCTTAGCTTCTCCAAGCAGAAAACTCAGTCATCAAGGACATGCTCGGCTCGGACAACGACCTTGAGCTTGTTCTGCTGACTTTCTCCAGCCCTTCCCAGATACACGTCGCACGCCCAGTCACAGGGGTGTAGGGTTTAGAGGGAACTAAGCCCTAAGCCCTAAACCCGTAAACCCCCAAACCCTAAAACCCTGAACCCCTAAAACCTAAGCCCTAAACCCTACACCCCTGAACCCCTAAACCCTAAACCCTAAACCCTAAACCCCAGGTTTCTTGCGAACCAAGGTGGAGTCGCTCATGGAAGCCGCGCGGAGCGGCTTAGTGGCGGAGGCGCCATGAACCCTTCATGGGACTCTGCCTTGGGCCCCCTAGGGGTTTAGGGTTTAGGGTTTAGGGTTTAGGGTTTAGGGTTTAGGGATGTTTAGGGTTTTGGGTTGAGGGTTGAGGGTTGAGGGTACCTTGAACCCCTAAGGTTGTACCCTTGGGTTTGGGGACCCTTTCACAGGTCCTCTAAGGCTATGTTGGGATTAAGGGCACCTCGCAAGGCGTACCCTAAACCCTAAGCCCTAAACCCTAAACCCTAAACCCTAAACCCTAAACATGGTCCAAGTTGGATTCTGTTGAGAAGCCCGGAAGTCCTGATCCTGCAAAGCCGAAGATGGTTTTTTTTGGTTCAGGGTTTAGGGTCTGAGTCTAAACCCTAAACCCTAATCCTTAAACCCTGAACCCTAAACCCTAAACCCTAAACCCTAAACCCTAGACCCTAAACCCTAAACCCTAAACCCTAAACCCTGAAGGGAGGGCTTGAGGGCAACTCCTAAGTGTGGGCTTCCCGCTTGGAGGGATCCTCAAACAAGCACCCTAAGGATCATCATGTTAAACCCAGGGCTTTGGGTTTAGGATTTAGGATTTAGGGTTTAGGGTTTAGGGCTTGTCAGGTGTTTGGGGTTCAGGTTGCAGGGTCGCACAAATCCTTCTGAAGAACCTGGGTGTTCCCTGGAAGCCCTGGGTAACCCAAATCCTGATCCCCGAGCCCCCGCATGCCCTAGAACCTAACCCCCCTCCCTTCAGGATTTAGGCTTAGGGCTTTAGGCTTTCGGCTTTAGGGTTTAGGGTTTCGGGTTCGGGGTTTAGGGTTCGGGGTTTAGGGTTTAGGGTTTAGGGTATAGGGTTTGGGGTTTAGGGTCCTCCAAGCAGCCAGGTCGACTCCCTACTGCAGCTACCCCTGGACCCGAACGTGGTCTCCGAGTTCGGTGAGACTCCTCTTTGTACCTTGGGGTTTGTGGTGTAGGGGTTCAGGGGTGGTGTAGGGGTTCAGGGGTTTAGGGGTTTAGGGTGTAGGGTTTAAAATTTAGGGGTTTAGGGTGTGGGGTTTGAGGTTTAGGGTTCAGGGTTCGGGGTTTAAGGTTTAGGATTTAAGGTTTAGGCTTTATAGAGTTTACGGTACTGGTGGTTTCCGAGATTATTTGCACTCCTTGGGATACGGGAAGCCTGCTATTTGGGGAGATTCTATCTGAAGAGCCCCTGCTTTTCGTAAGCCCCCCCCCCAAATGATGCCTTTAACTGGGTCAGAGCCAATAGGCCTAAACTTAAAAGCCTTTGTTGAAGACCACATATTTTATAAGCCTCAACTTAACCCTAAACCCTAAACCCTAAACCCTAAACCCTAAACCCTAAACCCTAAAGACCACCTCTTTGGTGCCTTAAGGTAGGGCGTCTGCCGCTGGCCACGGTGACGTCGTGCGCTTGCTGGTGGAGGCCCGGGCCGACCTGGACTTGGCTGAAAGCGTTGGCAGCACGGCCCTCATGCTTGCAGCAAAGAGCGGCCATGACCCCTTGGCCAAATTAGGGTTTAGGGTTTAGGGCTTAGGGTTTAGGGTTTAGGGTTTGGGGTTTAGGGTTTAGGGTTTGGGGTTTAGGGTTGAGGGTTTACGAAAATAGGGGACCTCTAAAATAGACCCTTAAATAGTGGGCTACCCTTTTTTTATAAGGACCTCCTTAAAAGAACTAGTGACAGCTTTTTGCGACATTCGGGGGTACCTTATATACTGGGATCGCTATGATAAGAGAGTCCTACTATTTGGGAGGGGGCAAGGAGCGGCCATGACACTTGCCAAATTTTCCTTACTTCGTCAATAGTTGAACTTTAAACTGTTTAGTTTTCCTTATTTGGTAGGAACACAAAACCTCGTTTATTCCTGGGTTATAGGAGAAGTAAGTGGGGGTCTTCCGAAATTCGAGGTACCTTTTGGGGTTTTATGATAAGGGAATCCTCCTATTGTTTTTTTTTTTTTTTGTTTTTTTGGGGGGGTTTGCAAGGTGTAAACTCCCATTGTTGACTGGGTTGCGTGCTGTCAGGGAACTTAAAGCAAGTTCGAGCATGATTGTAACTTAGCTCAAGTTTCTGTAGCAGTAGCCCTGATGAATTCCTGCACTTGGATGCACAAGCCTGTGCTCCTAGAATCCCTTACTGGGGCATGGGCATGTGAGCCATATGGGTGTTTCCCAAAATAGGGGTACCCCTTTTATGCCCCAAAGAATACAGAAGCCCCTTAAAGAAACCCCCCTCCCCCAAAAAAAGAAAGAAAAGGGGGTACCCCCTACTTTCGGAAACCGCTAGATAAACCTGCAAACCCTAAACCGTAAACCCTAAACTTGGCCCTAAACCCCAAACTCGGGCACATTGACCTCCCAAGGAGAAGGTCGTCCGCTTTCTGATGGACTCCGGCGCAGCCAGGGAGTTCCTTGGGGACTAAATGAACCCTGAAAGGGTTTATGGTTCATATACCTCAATAGGAATTATACCCTAAACCCTAAACACTGAACCCTAAACCCTAAACCCTAAACCCTAAACCCTAAACCCTAAACCCTAAACCCCCATTTGGGGTTTCATTTGGTCCCTAAGGTTGGCCGACAAAGATGGACGCACCGCCCTGATGTTCGCATCTTTCTACGGCCATGTTGAAGTCTTAGTAGCTGAATGAGCACACTTTCGTTTAGGGTTTAGGGTTTAGGGTTTAGGGTTTAGGGTTTAGGGTTTAGGTTTTAGGGTTTAGGTTTTAGGGTTTAGGGTTTAGGGTTTAGGGATACTCTAACTTTGTCGTAATTTGGTAACATTTTATATTTTTAAGGCTACTTAAACAAAATCGGGGATATAATTTTACATTTTTAATACTTTCCCAACCATGAACTAGTCGTAGTTGCTGAGTGAGCACACTTTACGCTTATTTGGGGGATACTCTAATCCCCTATAGAACTGAAAGTGTACACCTTTTGGGGGGGATTCTGAACTCAGCAACTAAGAAGTAGCTTCGGATGCTCAGAGGTAACCTTTCGCCAGTTTTGAGCTTTGGGATTCTTTCACGAAACGCGGCGAAAACCCGCCAAAAGGATACCTGTGCTTGTGAGATTGTACAATCCCGGGCTACCAAAAAGGATACTTTCTTACCCTAAACCCTAAAACCTTAAACCCTAAACCCTAAACCCTAAACCCTCATCTCTTTGGGTAATATGGCGTAATCCCGGGCTAGCGAGGTACTGCAGTTGCTACTGGGGCCGCAAAGGGTGGCTGCCAAAGAGGGCGAGCTCTTGGCTGACCCTGGCAACGTTGAAGCCGAGGCTTCCTTTTCCTCCTTTTTTAGGGTCTAGGGTTTAGGGTTTAGGGTTTATAGGGTTTAGGGTTTAGGGTTTAGGGTTTAGGGTTTAGGGTATACAGGGTCTAGGGTTTAGGGTTTATAGGGCTTGTGGGATTTAGGGTGAATAGGGTTTAAGGAGCCTTCCTTCTTTAGGGTTTTTTGAGGGTTTACAGGATTTAGGGTTTATAGGGTTTAGGCTTTATAGGGGTTGTAGGATTCAGGGTTTTCAGGGTTTAGGGTTTATAGGATTTAGGGTCTATAGCGTTTAGGGTGTAGGGTTTAGGGCTACACTTGAAAGTGGGTACGTGGGTACCGGCGCCAACCTGAGCATGAAGCCTTAAATTTGGATCATACACCCTGTGCTACCTAAATTCCCGACGATTTCTTGACCACAAGCCAGGAGCCCGTTTAGGGTTCAGGGTTTAGGGTTTAGGGTTTAGGGTTTAGGGTTTAGGGTTTAGGGTTTAGGGTTTAGGGTTTAGGGTTTAGGGTTTAGGGTTTAGGGTTTAGGGTTTAGGACCTACTCCACAAGGACAAGGACTTTGCCGACCACAATGGCTGCACGGCCCTCATGTTCGCATCCGTCGCAGGCCACACGGAAGTCGTGCCTTGGTAGCCCAGTGCCCTAAACCCTAAACTCTAAACCCTAAACCCTAAACCCTAAACCCTAAACCCTATAAACCCTAAACCCTAAACCCTTTGCCGTTTTTTTTTTTTGGCGGGGGGGGGGGGGGGGGGGGGGGGGGTTATGGGTAGAGGGTTTAGGGTTTAGGGTTTCCTTCTAAAGTATCCACCCCCAAAAAGGGTGCCCTTATTCTAATATGGTTACTGGGCTACTAAGGTACGTTCGCTGTTGGAGGCAGGCACCAACAAGGACTTGGAAGACAACGAGGGCCGGACGGCCCTGATGATTGCAGCTGACCGGGGCCATGTTGAGATCCCTGGGTTCCAAGTTGAACCATAAAATTGGGGGGTTTAGGGTTCAGGGTTGAGGGTTCAGGGATCAGGGTTCAGGGTGTAGGGTTTAGAGGTCATACACCCTGTAGTACTACATCTTTTCAGGTGACCACAAATCCCTTTAGGCCTCATTTGCTGCCCCCGAGGATTGTGCGTCTGCTGGTGGAGATGGGAGCTGATAAGGACCCGCCGGTTCTTCGTAGGGAATGAGGGAGTTACAGGGCCCCGATATATACACACTTTAAGGTATTATGTCGGGTACCTCATTCCCTACTACATATACACTTTAAGGGATTGTAGAGGGTACCGCATTCCCTACTAAAACCCACATCCAGCCCAAAACCCTAAACCCTAAAGCCCGCCAGAGGAGCTGGCCACGAAGCGCGGGGTGACGGCCCTGATGCTCGCAGCCCGCGAGGGCCGCATCCAAGTCACGCGTTTGCCGCTTGGTAGCCCAGTCTGGCACCTTGGTTTAGGGTTTACGGTTTAGGGCTAGGATTTAGGGTTCAAGAGTCCCTATCTTATAGAGTAACGAACCCCCCCAACAAAGGGGTACAATCATTAGAAGATGGTTGTACTGGGGTATTTCTGATTCTTCATGCCCAGTCTGGTACCCTTTTGCCCTTTCCCTAAGGGTCCATGTACCTTTTTAGGGAGTACTTGGGCCTTAAAGTACTTCCTATCCTAAACCCTAAACCCTAAACCCTAAAGACTTCGGGGTGCAAATATATAGTACTGAGGTACATGAACCCTTAGGTTCTTTTGGTTCAAGAATCCCTGATTGTAAAGTAACGAACTCCCCCCCAAAACAGGGTATCCTTATTAGAAGATGGTTGCTAGGGTATTCCAAGGCTTTACAAGGGTTGGTGGTCTCTTTAAGTAGGGTTTCTGTTCTATAGGGCAAAGGTTCAGGGTTCGTTTTAGGGTATCTAGGGGCCATATTGAGGTATAAGGGCAACAGATAACGAGGCCACCGACCTTTTCCCTGAACCCTAAACCCTAAACCCTAAACCCTAAACCCTAAACCCTAAACCCTAAACCCTAAACCAAGGCTGCTAGAGGCCGGCGTCGACAAGGACGCGGCTGATAACGATGGACACACGGCCCTGATGAACGCGGCCGACCCTTGGGGACGAAATGAACCCGAAAAGGGTTCATGGTTCATAGACTTTCATAGGAACTATATAAATGGGTTTATGGCTCATATGCCTTAATAGAATTATAGCACTAGGGCGTATAGGGTATATGACCCCAATCTTAGAGCTCATTTGGGCCCCGAGGACTGGGGCCATGTTGAAGTTGTGCGCTCGCTGGTGGAGGCCGACGCCCAAAAGGACTTGGCCAATAAAGATGGCCGAACTTCTCTCATGCTCGCGTCTGCCGCGCGCCACGTGGAGGTCGTGCGTTTCCTGGTGGAGGCCGGCGCCGACAAGAACTTGGCCGATACTTGGCAGCACAGTGGTGCCCTTTGCCCCTTTTTTGCTTCAAGGTTCCCTTATCAAGAAACCAACACAACAAAAAAAGGCTGCTTATTTGACTATGGATACTGGATGTTACTGGGCTACCAAGGATAAGGTTGGCCGCACCTCCCTCATGCTAGCATCCGGAGAGGGCTACGTGGAAGTTGCACGTTTGCTGGTAGAGGCCCTAGCAGACAAGGACGCTGCCACCAATCATGGCCTGACAGCCCTGATGCTGGCAGCGCGCGAGGGCCACGTGCGAGTTGTGCGTCTGCTGGTGGAGGCTGGCGCCGACAAGAACCTGGCGGACCAGGACCGGAACACCGCTCTGATGCTCGCAGCTGACCCTTGGGGACGAAACGAGCCCTAAAAGGGTTTATGGTTCACATACCTTAATAGGAATCATAGCAGTATAGGGTATATGAGCCCCAATTTTAGAGCTCCTTTGGGCCCCAAGGACTCGGGCCATGTTCCTGTCGTGCGTGCGTTGGTGGAGGCCAGTGCGGACATGAACCTGACCGACAACGATGGCCGCACAGCCCTAATGCTCGCAGCTGACTGGGGCCATGTTGAGGTCGTGCGGTTGTTGGTGGACGCCGGCGCCGACAAAGACTTGGCCGACAAAGATGGCCGCACCCTGGGGACGAAATGAACCCCAAAAGGGTTTATGGTTCAGATACCTTACTAGTATTCTAGCAGTCCAGGGTATATGTATATACATGTATATATATATATATATATATTAAAAATATATATGTATGTATATGTATGACCCAATTTTGGGGGTTCACTTGGTCCCCAAGGCACAGCTCTCATGTTCGCCTCCGTCTCGGCCCACGCGAAAGACGTTGCAGGCGTGCGCTTGCTGGTGGAGGCCGGCGCCGACAAGGACTTGGCCGACAAGCATGGCTGCACCTTGGAGGGACGCAATGAACGCTGAAATTGGGGTCATATACCGGTTTAGGGTTTAGGGTTTAGGGCTTAGGGTTTAGGGTTTCCTAAATTGGGGTCATTATACCCTGAGTACTATAATTCCTACTAAGGCAATATGAACCACATAAGCCCTTTTGAGGGTTCACTACTCTCATTCCTCTTAAGGTAAGATGAACCATAAACCGTTTAAACCCTTTTAGGGTTCATTTAGTCCCCAAGGCACGGCCCTCATGCTTGCAGCCGACCGGGGGCGCTCTGCATTTGTGCAGCTGCTGGCGCAGGGGAACGCCGGCCAGGACCCGAAATTTCTAAAATGATTCTTCGGCTCAGAGTACTAGGTAGGCCCTTGGGACATTTTTGCATTTTGCCTTATACTGGGTTTAAGAGGTTCATCTTCAGGAACATATTTCAGAGGGTTTTAAGGGCCGGTTGTAAGGGCCATCCTACAGTGGTCCTCGGACTTCAATGCACCCTGATTTCCCAAGAATCATCCTGCTGGCAGTTTACATGACTTGGTAGCCCGGTGTTACCCTTTTCCTGCTTGTTGGTTCAAGGTGCCCATATAATAAAGTGACCAACCCGAAGAAGGGTGCCCGGATTAGAAAATGGTTACTGGGCTGCCAAGAAGAGTTCATGTACTCGACTACTATTTGCTTAAGAACCCCCAAAAATTTAATAATCATCCCTAGTTAGCCCTTGTATGTAAGGAATCATATCTTTTCTTTGGGGGGGGTCTGAAGCAAATACTAGTTGATGAATGAGCCAGCCAATGCGCCGGCCAGCGTGTTGATCAGGCCCACCAGTGGCTGCAGCAGTTGTCTCGCGCTTTAACATTTTTTAAAGTGTCCCCCAAGGGTCCATGTACCTCATTAGCATATACTTGGGACGCAGACTCCTTTTTTATGGCCCAGGTCGTTCCTATGTAGCCCCAAACCCTAAACCCGAAACCCTAAACCGTTAGGTACATTGGCCCTTAGAGGTCGGCGTCCTGCCTGTACAGAGATGACACAGAGGATTTCGACAACAACTCGAATGCTCTTGAGCCATGGGGTCCCCTACTAAGGCTTAGGGGTTAGGGTTTAGGGTTTAGGGTTTAGGGTTTAGGGTTCAAGGTTTAGGGTTTAGGGTTTCGGGTTTAGGGTTTAGGGACACTACCCACCCTAGGTTCCCCCCCTATAATTTGGTCTATTAAGGGATAGTGACGCCGAAGTAAGGTTAATTTAAGGGGGGAACGTTTAGGGTTTAGATGTACGGTGGCCACAAATCGTACCTTACTGAGGGCCGGCGGGGGGGGGGGGGGGGGGGGGAGGGTAGCCTTTTCGACATAGGGTTGATTATAGGGATTGTGCCTATGCGGCCTAAACCCTCAACCTGACACCTGGACCCCGAATTCGCGACACCCTGGGAACTCACCCCACCACGTTGGCAAAGGGTTCGGTGACCAGGCGGTTCATGACAAGCAAAACCCTAAGCCCTGATTCTTTTTGGTTTAGGAACCCTAAACCCTAAACCCTAAACCCTAAACCCATGGGACTAATTCGGGTTCTTTTTGTTAAGGTGTTTCTGGCGGGTTGGGGTTCACTGGGCCTTTCCACGAAACTCCAAGGGCTTTTAAGAAGAGCTCTGCTGGTCTCTCGCAGGAGTCTCCATACCTTCGTTAAGGGGTTCCTGAAGTATGGGACCCCAAACCCCAAATCCCAAACCCCAAACCCCAAACCCTAAACCCCAAACCCCAAACCCTAAACCCCAAACCCCAAACCCCAAACCCTAAACCCTAAATGTTAAAGGGCTACATACGGCGTCCCCATTCAAGGGCCCAGACTAAGGGGCCATGCGACTGCCCCGGGACAACCCCCCTGGCTTGAACTGTTGAAGGTTCAGTAGGTTGTTAAGAGGAACCCCCCCAAACCCCTGAAATAGGGTTTCGGGTTTAGGGTTCAGTAGGTTGTTAAGAGGAACTCAAGAACCCCTGAAACCCTAGAATCTCAGCTGAGAATTCTAACGCCCTGAAAGCCAAGAAGCTCAAGCCTAAAGCCCGAAAAGTTCAAAACGTTCTCAACCCCTCTCATCCCACAACCACCCATGCTGGGATGAGTTTGCTGGCTCGAATTGGGCACCTCTCCCTTTATAAGGGTTCTCCCTTACATTGATAATCCCTTGTAGGTTTAGGGTTTAGCTGCGGGTCTATGAAACCCCTTGAGAAGCTTCAACCAGGAACCCTCGAAACTCTAAACCCTCTGGCATGGGACCCAACAAATTCCCCTGACACAACCCACGTCCTTCCTATTAGACCCTGCAAGTGAAGTTTAGGTGCTGAGTAGGTAACCTTTAGATCCCACCTAGAAGCACAACACTGAGCAGGTTTCCCTTACACGAAACCCAGCTGGTAAGACTCTAACATATCGAACTCCAACGCAAGAAGAGCAAGCCCAAACCCCTCGAAGCCCAGGGTTTAGGGTTTAGGGTTTAGGGTTTAGGGTTTAGGGTTTAGGGTTTAGGGTTTAGGGCTTAGGGTTTAGGGTTTAGGGTTTAGGGTTAGGGTTTCGGGTTTAGGGTTCAGGGTTCAGGGTTTAGGGCTCATGGTTTAGGTCTATCCGCCGTGAGCCACAGGACCTCTTTTGGACCTACATCGAGCACCCAGCTTGCGATTGGATCACGGTTGGCTTGGGGTCTTTGTGGCGTGGGGTTTCGGGTTTAGGGTTCAGGGTTCGTGTATCTCCTACATAGTTTAGGGGACTGTTTTAGAGCTTCTGGCATTTTGGGTTTAAGGCTTTCGAACTTGAAACGACCCTCCCCCCCACGCACCCTCCTGCACTCTGAACCCCAAACTCACCTGAACCTTAACAAACCCGATGCCCCGAAATTTAGGGGGCCTGGGTTGGAAGTCCCTAATTAAGCTCGAAACCCCTAACTCACAACCCGAAACCCTGCACCAGAAACCCTAGACCCTAGACCCTAAACCCTGAACCCGGTTTGGCATTGGAGGAAAGGGAGCGGGGGGGTGGGGGGGTGCTCATGCTGCTCGAAGGCTCCCGAAGAGGCCATCGGTTTCTGCCCTTTGCGAAAAAAGTCCCGAGAAGCTCTTGTTTGAGCCCCAGGCCTGCAATCCCTTTGAAGGCTTGGGGTTTAGGGTTTAGGGTTTAGGGCTTAGGGTTTAGGGTTTAGGGTTGAGGGTTGAGGGTTGAGGGTTTAGGGTTCAGGGTTCAAGCTTGAGCCCACGCCACGCCCTTGGCAAGGCCTGAACTCCAAGAACCTCAGACCCTCCTTGGGGACCAAATGAACCCCAGAAGGGTGTATGGTTCATTTTCCTTACAAGAATTATGGTAGTATAGGATATATGCCCAATTTTAGCTTACAAGGAATTATAGTAGTATAGGCTATATGCCCAATTTTAGCTTGCAAGGAATTATAGTAGTATAGGGTATATGCCACAATTTTAGTATTGTGGTTGATGTGCTGCCTCGGGCTCCAAACCCCCTTGCAGCAAGGCGTGCTCAGTACCCGAGCGGGCAAGGAATGTGGGTGCCTCGTCTTGATTTTTGGCATGGGGAATGTCTAGGGACGGGGACACCAACTCCCAAAGCCCTTGCGTCGTTTTTTTGGGAGTTTGGGATGTTCCGAAGCCCCAAATCGCGCAACCTGAACCCATAATTCCCTGTTGGGCCAAAAAACTCGCTCGTACTTGTTGTTTTGTGGGTTAAGGGGGTGTCGGGCTTGAGGGTTTAAGGGCTTTAGGGTTCTTTTTTGTTTGGGCCATCTGGGCTTCTTTTATGTTCATGTCGCTCCGAGTTCTTTTTCGGAGGACCCTACATGCTAGGCCTTCCCCACGATGCTATGAAGCTGTCCCTGTTGGGTTGAGGGTTTGAGGGTATTTCTAACGGCACTTCCCAAAATAGACCACCACCTCCACATACCCCAATTGCTTTAATGCTTGTTGAAGGAGCTCCCATGAACCTTAAGCCCTAACCATCGAAAGGCAGCCAATTCCTGGGTAAGTCAAATTTGAGTTTAGGCTTTACAGTTTAGGGTTTAGGGTTTAGGGATTACTCCCATACTTCATGCCGTCGAGAGGCCTGGGATTTGTTTCCCTTGCTGCCCAATGTCAAAAGTGCTCCCTTCTGGACTCTGATTCTGTCCCGATCGCTCTCGAGCTCGGGCCCCTAACTTACAGTTGCTTAGCAGGGAATGGGGGAATGAGGTACCCTATATAGTCCCTTAAAGGGTATACATAGGGCCCTACTTCCCCAAAAACCCCAAACTCGGTGCCGTCAATTCTAAGCCCTATAAACCTTATGTCCTGTTTCGATATCGGTCTTTGCAATGGATTCCGCAAAGATCTCAGATAATACATCTTGCATGTCTTATATTCTCTCCCTCTCTCTCTCGATATGTATACATATATATATATATGTATGTATATCATTTGCAGTACATACATTTCATATTGCATACTGCATTATTCTGTATACTATAGTATAGTATCCATCTTCATATACATACTTACTTACTTACTTACTTACGTACTTACTTACTTGCTTACACACATACATACATACATACATACGGTAGCAGCAGCTATATACATACATATATATATATATGTGTGTATACACATACACATAGAACTGCACATGTTTTTGTTGCGTGTTATATACATATATATATTTATATTTTAAAGTACATTGTTTGATACGTATTGTTTATATGTTGACGGATTCACAGAAAATGGATTCGTACTTCGCCGGAAACGGCCATGTTTAGGGTTTAGGGTTTAGGGTTTGGGGTTTAGGGTTTAGGGTTTAGGGGTTTAGGGTTTAGGGTTTAGGGTTTAGGGTTTAGGGGTTTTCTCACAGGCTGGTGGGTACTTGGAAGCCCTTTCGACTTCGTAAGCAGGGTTAGCAAGGTGGGATCTTGGGTAATCGGGTCTCCAGGGCATGCTAAGTCGACTTACCCTAAACCCTAAACCCTAAACCCTAAACCCTAAACCCTAAACCCTAAACCCTAAACCCTGAGTCAACAGAGCTTCTAAGTAGGGAACCAAAAAACTCAGACTCAGGTGGAACGGCTCCGTGACTTGATCAGCGAGATGCAGACGGGTAGTACCCAGGCAACTTGGCGCCAGCGGCGAGTCTATAGAGTTTAGGGTTCAGGGTTCAGGGTTGAAAGGTTTAGGTTTAGGGTTCAGGGTTTAGGGTTCAGGGTTGAGGTTCAGGGTTTGAGGGGTTTAGGGTTTAGGGTTCAGGGTTTAGGGTTCAGAAGGAATTAGGGTTCAGAAGGGTTTAGGGTGCAGAAATGTGTAGGGTTCATAAGGGTTTTG